ATGTTGGGACCAGCAGTTAGCGTAATGGCTATGTCGCTGGACTCCCATGTAGCGGACTGTGGTTCGCGTCCCGGACCCAGTGGCTTAAACTCACACCGGGCGCATGTGCGTGCGTGCCCAAGACCCCGAGAGGAGAATGGAGGAGAAGGGATTGTGGCGTGGCCATCCCCCTTGGGGGGTGATTTCTCGCTTTCTGTCTCTCTGTCTCTCTGGCGAGTGCACGCGCCCTATAGCGAAAACCTCTCCAAATAAAAAAGAAAAAAAAAATTTTGTATGTTAACACATCTTTAAAATTGTGTTTTAGGAAGTTTTATATGTAAAATTGCTGTAATTGTAAAGTGGGTTTTTTTTTTGGAGAAGGATGTATAGTTGAAAATACATAGTAACAGGTTGAAAGTTGACTTTAGGAAGAGGGACTTCTGTGGAAATTTCTCACTTAATATTTTGGAAATATACATGTTCTTGTTTCCAAAATCCTATTTCATTTTTTATGGCATAGTAAAAGTTTTCACTAGTAAGCATGACATTCTTTCTGTTTTATTTTTTATTAGGGTTCTGTTGAAGATACCACTGGCTCTCAATCTCTGGCTGCGTTGCTGAATAAATGTAAAACATCTCAAGGACAGAGACTAGTTAATCAGTGGATTAAGCAGCCTCTCATGGACAAGAACAGAATAGAAGAGAGGTATATTGTTAGTGTATTTTTGTCACCATAGCAATTTGCAGTTTTTCCATATGTTTGTACTGCTTACTCTTATATTTAATTTCATGTGTATAGTGTTTTAATGCAAAGAGAGCTGCGTAGTATTATAGAATAATAGTGATTTAGACTAAAGAACTTATTTCCCTTTTTAAAAAGAAATTATTGATTTAATTTGATTTGTTATTATTGTGTATTTTTATTTTGCTGTGGGATACATGAACTTACCAGAGAGAGAGGGAAAGTGAGAAGGGAAGCTGCCAGGTCTGGGACTTGAACTGCGGATGGCCATGTGGGAGTCCAGTACACCAACCACCACCTGATCTGCTGGCCTCAAGAACTTTGTTTCCTAACTAATTTTTTTTTTCTTTTTACTATTAAAAAATGTAAAACTTTATTAGAGAGGTGGTATGTTACAATGTTTCAAAGCTTGAACCTTTGGAGCTAGTGTTCTTAGGTTTGAATTATTTGTCTTGGATAGGTTACTCAACCTCTAAATTGTAGTTTGTTCACTTTAAAATGACATTGGGCCAATAGGCGGCATGGTGGTTAAGGTACAGGATCCCAGCACCTGGCTGACCTTATGATTCAAGTCCCAGACCTGGCAGTTTGAAAAAAAAAAAAAAATGCTGGACGTAGTATGCATGTGGGCCAAAGTCCTAGAAGGAGAATGGAGGAGAAAGGATTACAGCTATCCTCCTTGTGGAGAGGGTTCTTATTCCCTCCTACCCTGCTGCAAACATGTAGCCTTATATCAAAAATTAAGGAAACAAAAAAGAAAGAAACAGAAAAACACATAGTTCCTTACAGGATTGTTATGTGGATTAAATGAATTAATATGTATAAAATACTTAGAACAGAGTAGGAAAAACTGGAAGCCACTTATACTTTATTGTTTTACAAAGGATTTAGGATGACCTAAACATATATTTTAGACAATCTTTAAAATTGAAAAAGAATAGAAAAAGTTATGTAGTTCTCCCACCCAAACATGACTACCTTTTTTTTTTTGGGGGGACAGGTTTTCGCTACAGGGTGCGTCCGCTCGCCATACAGACAGAGAGAGACAGAGACAGAAAGCGAGAAATTACCCCCGAGGGGGGATGGTCACGCTGCAATCCCTTCTCCTCCATTCTCCTCTTGATATCTAAGGGCATGCGCGCACTCGCGCCCGGAGTGAGTTTTAAGCCACCCGGTCCGGGACATGAACCGCAGTCGACTACGTGGAAATCCAGCGACGTAGCCATTATGCTAACTGCTGGTTCCCCACATGACTAGCATTTGACATGTTTGTTTCAGACTTTTGTTTTAGATACTAATTTTGAAACATTTTGAATAAAGTATAATACTGGGTTGTTGAGAAAGTCATGATGCATTTTTGCATAGGAAAAAAAATGTCATGACCTAATATAATCTAATGACCTAATATAATACACACACACCCAAATCCCAAGTGTGTAATTGCTTGAATTTTCAAAATGAACATATCTAACAACAAAGAAGTCACGAAACTGCCTAACTAGCATTCACAAAATTCCCCTCAGTTCTCCTACTTACTACCCCTCACGTGAAGAGTAACCCCTTTTTTTCTTGCATGCCCAAAGAGTATGTGCATTTGCCAGAGGGAGTGAGAGAGAGCACAATAGAAAAAAGCATTCTCCTCTGGGACATGGTTATGCTTGCTGGTCACGTGGATTCTAGATTCTATGCACAGTACTTTAACTGCCGCAGTACTCGTCTGGCTCACCATTGTCCTAGCTGGTTACATCATAGATAGAAAAGTTTCTTTTTTTAATAATAATTATCTTTGGGGCCCAGCCGGTGGCATGGTGGCTAAGGCACTGAGCACTCATGTAACTGACAATGGTTCGAGTCCTGGACCTAGTGACTTGCTTTCTCTCTCTCTTTCTGTATTTCTCTGGTCAAATTTAAATAAATAAGTGAATGAATAAATAAAATTAAATAATTAAAAGAAAATAAGTATCCTGGAGCTGGCAGGTAGCATGGTGGTTAATTGCACTGGACTTCCATGTGGCTGTGATAGTCCCAGACCTGGCGGCTTGCTTTCTTAATTTCTCTCTCTCTGTCCCTCTGTGGTCAAAATAAAAATAAGTATATAAATAAATAAATAAAATTAAATAAAATATAGTTATCTTTATTTAATGTTGTTTTTGTCAATTATTTTTTTGAAAGGTTTTTGCCATAGGACGTCTGTACTTGCTGGAGAGACAGAAAGGGAGAAATCACTCCCCAGGGGAATGGCCACTTTGCAATCCCTTCTTCTCTTGGGATCTTGGAGATGCATGCACATTGCCTGCTATGACTTTTAAGCCTCTGGGTCTGGCCCATGAATCGCAGTTGACTACGTGGGAGTTCAGCAAAGTAATCATTACACCATTTGCTGATCCCATCAATTTTATTTATTGTTGTTATTGTTTTTTTAAAGGATTATTTTATTTAACTATATTTATTTATTTACTTATTTATTTTCATTTGACCAGATAGAGACAGAATGAGAGAGAAAGTGAGAAAGTGAGCCGCCAGGCTCAGGACTTGAACCTTGGTCGACCATGTGGGAGTCTAGCACCTTTAACCACCATGCCATCTGCTAGCTCCTGTTATTATTATTTTAATTTGCTATTCACCAGACGGAGAGAGAAAAAAGGAAAATGAAAAAGCAAGCTTCCAGGTCTAGGACTTGAAGCGTAATTTGCTATGTGAGAGTCCAGTGCCTTAACCACTGTGCTATATGTTGACCCTCCTAGATTAATAAGTTTTGTCTATTTTTGCCCTTTATGTAATGAAATAATTTTATATAGTATACTCTTTTTTTTAATTATTTTTTTAGAGTTTTTTGCTATAGGGTGCGGGCGCTCACCAGACAGACAGAGAGACAGAAATTGAGAAATCACACCCCATGGGGGATGGCCACTCCACAATCCCTTCTCCTCTTTTCTCCTCTTGGGATCTTGGGCACGCACGCACACGCACCCAGTGTGTTTTAAGCCACCGGGTCCAGGACGCGAACCGCAGTCGACTATGTGGGCGTCCAGCGACATAGCCATTATGCTAACTGCTGGTCCTATGTAGTATACTCTTATATTCAATCATCTTTTTGGTTAAACCTAGTTAAAACCCTGATAACGGTTTTGTGACCTAGTATTTTCCACACGTATGTCTTTGTTAAGCATTTTTTGGTGTTGCGGTTCTATCTTCATAGCCAGCATTTTATTTTATTTTTTTTCTGAAGAGGTTTTTCTTACCTGAGGGAGTATACACTTCCTGGGGAGAGAGACCCAGTGATAGGGAGAGTAAGAAATCCCAGGAGGGATGGCCTTGCTGCAGTTGCTTTTCTGTTTTCCTCCTGGGATCCTGAGTATGCCTGCACACGCACCCAACATCATTTTGTAACCACTGGGTCTGAGAGTTAATCCATAGTCTGCCATGTGGGAGTCCAGCGATGTAACTGCTTCATCATCTGCTAGTCCTCCATATTCAGCATTTAAGTACATAATGTTTTTGTTTTTTTTTAAAGAATTATTTATTTTGGGAACCAGCAGTTTGCGTAATGGCTATGTTGCTGGATTGCCATGTAGTCGACTGCGGTTTGCATCCCGGACCCGGTGGCTTAGAACTCATGCTGGGTGCCTGTGTGTGTGTGCCCAAGATCCCGAGAGGAGAATGGAGGAGAAGGGATTGCAGTGTGACCATTCCCCCCCCGGTGGGTGATTTGTCCCTTTCTGTATCTTTGTCTCTCTGTGTCTGTCTGGCGAGCGTATGTGCCCTATAGCGAAAACCTCTCAAAAAAAAAAAAAGAATTATTTATTTTATTTTATTTATTCATTCATTTATTTAAATTTGACCAGAGAGAGACACAGAGAGGAAAAGTGAGAAAGCAAGCCACCAGGTCTGGGACTTGAACCGTGTTGAGCCATGTGGGAATGTCCAGTGCCTTAACCACCTCGCCACTTGCTGGTGCAGTACATAATGTTTTTGACAGGATATACTTTCCCTTTCACAGTATTTAGGTTATTGTAATGACTTTATCATTCATCTGTTGCCTTTTTACTGTTTTCTGTTTGGCAAATTGTATACATTGCCAGAATGGATAAGCGTTCAACTTTTTTTTTTTTTTGTAGAGGTTTTTGCTATAGGGTGCATGTGCTCACCAGAAAGACACAGACAGAGAGACAGAAAGCGAGAAATCACTCCCCAAGGGGGATGGCCATGCCACAATCCCTTCTCCTCCATTCTCCTCTCAGGATCTTGGACATGCACACACAAGCACCTGTGGTGAATTTAGGCCACCGGGTCTGGAGCTCGAACTATGACTACGTGGGAGTTCAGCGACATAGCCATTACGCTAACTCCCTGTCCCAGTGTTCAACATTTTTATGCCTTCAGTATTGTGAAGTCATTCAGGAATGACTAGTTGAATATTCAATGGGCATTTATGATGTTATCTCATGAGTATTTGGAGACATCTGGCAAACAATTCTTGATCAGTATTATAAGACACCATGCAAATAATTATCATGCTGAGTGTTGGTCCTGTGGATTGCAAAGGGCCTTATAATAAAAATAGTTTGCAAAAGTAGTGCGTTGTGGGTATGCTGAGATTTTATTGAAAATGTAGAGGTTGTAATTTTAAGGTAACTTTCTGAAGCCAGATTTGTTGGGGAAGAAGACTGGGATTTATTGACTGAATAAGAAATTGGAGGATAGGGTAATTTGGAAGTAATTAAGATAAGGCAAGTTATGGTTTTAAATTTTTAGTATTTTTGAATAAGCAATTACATTTATAGATTTCAGAATTTTAGAAGTGCAGGATGTATATTGATAGGTCTCCTACCATTGTCCCTTATATCCCATAGACCCCTTCCTCAGGTAACAGCTCCAGGGGGCATAGTTTTTTAGTGTATTCTATGTGAATTGCCACCACATGCCTTGGGAGCAGCAAGTCTGATCAGTTTCTTGAGTATACT